ACAACTGGTGCAGTATAATTCAGGTGTTATGGATCCAGTCGCATACTCAGTACTTCCAAACATGTTACATTGCCCTGCCTCAGCCCTTTGTGAAAAAGTGAAATTTACCTGTTATACTCACAAATTCAAGGTAATATGGTGTGAATAATTGATATACAAATGGTCACTTTGTGGGTTAAGTATTCCTTAAATCTAGAAATCTAGAAAACGTAACATTTATCCTCTAAAAACAAAATTATGTATACTTTTCACTGCCCATTTTCAAGTGCATGCCAATTTTTTTTCATACTTCTAAAGGAAGGTAATGTTTCCCGTTAAATTCAATAAGTCATGAAAATTAAATAGCAGACGAGTGAAACGTGCTTTAGTCTTGCGAGTCTACAAGTTTTTTTTTTCTTCATCAACTTTACATAAGCATTGTATGATAAAGCAATGTAGGGGCAGATTGATTTGAAAATATTGCTTTACCTCATAATGATATAGCTCACTAATAGACTTGAATACAGTTTGATAATGGAATAGAAACAAACAGATACTTTGAACAATAGAAGAAATACATTGAAATTTACAAAACAAATTAATATATTTTGCTTAATGATTATTTGTGTTGCATAATATCCACACAATTGAATAAACTAGGTTTTTAAAAAAAGGGGGAAAGAAGGCTGAAATGTAAAGATCTTTATATGAACTAAAAAATAAGCCCATATTGACTTTATATGGCTGCTGTTACCAATTTTATCATTTATGTCATGGACGGACAACACAGTGTAATTATGCTGAAAGGAATACAATGTATATAAAGCGGTTTAGTCTTTGTATATTAAAGTTTAGACTTTGTAGCTTGAATCTGTTTGGGAGGACGAGGATTTGGGGATAGCTGTAACAGCCGAGCATTGGTAGGAAGCCTACTGAGGAGCTCCAGTGTGTATTAGACATGGTCTGATGCTGCACTGATTTAATTTATCTGCGGTAATGTTGACTCTATTTGTGACTGGTATAAGCTGCCTCCTGCTTTCTTCCCACATGTCTTTCATAAATTGTCTAAACACTGGAGATCTGTTTTCCAGGCCGTAGTGACACAACCTGATCAACTGATTGTAGTAATCTACAGAGTATGTAACTCTGTTAGCATCTAGGGATGTGCACGATTAGTCAAAATTAAATATTTCTACCCTCGCAGTCTGCACTAGAAAATACTGATTGTAATTAACACAATTTTTATTTTATTTTTTAACTTTAGGATAGGCTGGTGCTCTGCGATTGCATTTGTGAAAATGCAGTTGTGCCTACAGGCATGTTTCTTAAAGATGTATTCTCCATCTTTGTTTTTTTAAGTAAATGTTAATTGTTAACTTTTATTTAGTTTGTTGTTTTGTCATGTTTTGTTCAATAGTGTACAATATTCATAATGCACAGTCCATGGTGCTACATGTTTCAGAGGCAGTTAAAGTACGATTTGTTATTTGAAAAATGTGAGTAATGATTTCAAATAGCTCTTTCTATATATGCAATATTTTTTACCAGACAGTGTTTAAGCTTAAAGATTAAATAGTGTTCAGTTTTGAATGTTTGGATTTTTTCATATTTAATTTCGGTTTAAACGTCAGGGAAAGTAGTCATTAGGAACATCCATAATCTAGGCAAATTCTCAAAAACTAGGCAACCTCCCAGTTTCACATTATGGCTGAGAGAGGTGATGCAGAATTTTAGGACTCTATGACAATTTTCTTAATTACTATGTATGTAGCTTGTTGCCTTTTCCTGTGGAAATGATACATGCTGAAAGATTTTATGTTTATTGAATGTCCATGTTCTATATTTGTCTTGTAAGTATTAAAAGCTTAGAAAATTATAACTTCAAATAAAATAGCTATTTGTTATCAAACATATGACACAGATTCTTGGAAGAGTGAGTATTTAAGAGGTAGGCCTTTTGTCTGTACTATGAGCTTCCTAAATTGATCTTCTTTGCATATGGATCATAGGAAGTTGACTATGACCTTTGACCTCCCTGTGGGGAGAGGAAGTACTGTAGGCTGTGGATTTTCCCCTTCAGGATTCAGTAGTGAACACAGCCTCGGCTTTGCTCCATTGTGTCCATGTATCAATTATTCATGTTCATTCTGTAAGATCAACCAGTCGTGTTATTGACTCTAGGTTAAGTCTAAATGAGATCCTCATTTACTCTTTAGAGGAAATCCCTCCTCTGCTGAGAATTCGGATGCACAGAAGCAGTAGCTTTAATTTGCACAATCGTGGGCAACCATGTAACACTCTTATGTGCACTACACTCATGATGTAAGCATCTTATGTGGAAACAGCGCAGAATAAGTAGAGATAGTGACAGTAGCTTTATGGAAGGATGGTTTAACACATTGTGTAACATTTACCACGCAAATAAAGTTTAACTGTAACTGTTTTCCTTGTATATATGCTCTGGCAACACAAATGTGGCCTGTTTACATGCCTTGCCAAGCAAATTAAAACAATTCTCCCTCAATCTCTCTGTCTTCCTCTCTATCTCTCACATACACACACACAGAGTGCACTTACCGTGATAGCGCTTCTGTTCATCATTGGCCAGCATCACAGCCATCCTCAGGCCGATACCGGAGGAGCAGCCGGTGATCAGCACCACTTTCTGCCCGGGACTCGCCATGGCTCCGCTGCCTCCCCGCTGTGCTGTCACACTGAGGGCACCAGCAGCTCTGCAGGATGCTTTGAGGTGAGAGCCACTGTAAGAGGATAAGAGACACACACACAGAGTCACATGGACAGAGCGCAACGACAGTGGGATTATCTAACCGGGGCACGGTGGGTTGTCCAGGTCAGTCTTGTGGTAGTCAAGTCCAACTCCTTTATTTGAATCCATCACAAGAAAATACCCATGGTATTATTCAGAACCTTCTAACTCTCAGTAAGGATTGGTTTCTGATCCACAGTGTAAAGAACAAACTGATAAGCACCGATTTGAAGTTGCATATTGATATGTAAAAGTCATCTTCTGCTCGGTAGAGAGAAGTGGCGCCGCCCAGTGGTCAATCTGATTATTCTACAAATCAGTCTACTGTAGCTCTGAGTGGAGTGACTTCTGTTACTCTAAGCCAACACAAATCTGGCCCATTATCTCCATCATCATGATGCCTGAGGATTTATTTATTTATTTTTGGCAGGATGGGTGTCAGAAAAGTTATTAATAAGATCAGTAAAATAGATGAAACAAACACATACACACAAGTACATACTATCTGTCTCTCTCTCTTGTTTGCACACACACACACACACACACACACACACACACACACACACACACACACGCACACACGTTTGAACACAAGAGCATAGCTGCCAGTCATAATTTTAAGACCTTGAAGCAGGAGGAAGGGCATTTGGAAATATGCCTGGAATCTATTTTCTTCTTCTTCCAAAAAAGTAGTCAGTATGTATGTGTGCCTGCCTGCATGCAATTTACTTCTGTTACCACAACAGCACTGTTACCAAAACATGAACTTCTAATTATTATAGTACATTAAATTTTCAGTAGCCTGATCTCCTTTTTACTGCCTAAAGAGTACACCAAATGTCTCCACGTGTTCCTCTCTTTTACATTAACAAAACCACAGAGACGTCTGTGTATCTGTTCATTTGTTGCAAGCTGGCATGCACTCATGCTTTTGTTCTCACCTTCACATAATGACAAAACAGGGTTATGCTAATTACAAAATGCTGCTGCAAGATGGTGCCAAGAAGACGTTATTTCTTCCAAATGCTCACATGAAACTACACTGTAAGGTGTAATAAAAAGACATCTTTAAGACATCCACCCCCACAGCTTTTTTTCTGCTGAATTATTATTATTTTCTTTATTTTTGGGTCATTTTAGTCACTCCTTGTTAAAAACTGATTTTATTCTCACAGCTTTATTTGCTCCAATATCATGCATTTTGTTACATTTCGGTGTATGATATATGCTACCATAGTAGGCTACATAAATACATTTGGATTTGATTTGATCATTCAGTCATATTTGGTACCTGCTCGTACTATCCTTTCAGGTTTGAGTCATTCTTTAGCTTACAGGTGATCTAAAAAAACATGTCTTTGTAGACAATACAGACTCATATAAAGGGGAGCTGAAGCAGGACAGGGGAGACCTGAGGCTCATATAGGTATTCTTGTGTATGCATGCATGTGTGTGCATGTACTGAACTCCAATCCTGTCAGCCTCTTCCACCCTATAAACTTCTCCCTATAAACTCCTAAAATGTCTCTGATACCTCCCAATGAGCTGCTGCTTTTCTTTGGACTTTTGTACTATCAGAGATAAAGAATGATAAAGCCCTTGAAGTAGAAGGCAGGAGGTGCATTCTGTTTTTTATTGTGCCTATAGGAGGAATATGGCATATGTGTGTTTGAAGAGAGTGCGGGGTGGGCAAAGACAGACAGGCACTGGAATTTGGAATCTGCAGCAGCATATTTTTATTAGTTGGGCAGCACCGTTGTCCTGTCCTAGCACGCTTTGTGTGTGTGTGTGTGTGTGTGTGTGTGTGTGTGTGTGTGTGTGTGTGTGTGTGTGTGTGTGTGTGTGTGTCTTTAGAGAGAGAGAGTGCAGAAAATTAAATGGCACGAGCTTTCATTGTTCATGATGGATGTTTTGTATTTGGTCCTATAGAGGAAGACTTTGCTTGCACGTTTATGTTCAAACAGAAACTTATTGCACGTGCGCTCAAGCTTATGTGCGTGACAAAGTTATAATGTGTATGTGCGGGCGCATGCGTGCTCATTCGTGCCCGTGCGCGCGCGAGAAATAGAGAAAGAGACATCACATAGTCCCTTAAATCACTCAGACAATAATGATGCCAATAATGACGCGCAGTAATTATGTTTCTGCACAGCCCCACGAGCCCCAACCAGGAGTCTCCAGGGAGGGAGGGGTCACCCCGGAGGAGGTGAGAGGAGAGAGGGAGAGGGGGGAGGAGGGGAGAGAAAGTGAGGAAAGTTCTCTGCGGGTGAAGAAGGAAAGACCTTCCAAGTTTAAGAGCTTTTTCCCCCGTGCTGGTCTCCGTTTTTCATCCGTCCACCCAGAAGAAAAACAGCAAGGAGATGAGCATATGAGCTGCTGAATGCCATTTTTCATCAATTAAATCAGTTTGTATGCATGCGCGCTCTTAATTGCCAGCTGGTGGAGCGCGCGCTGAGACGCACGGGCGCGAGGCAGCAGTTCCAAGGCTGTTAAAGCTCTCGCGCGCAGAGCCAAAAGTTTCTCTGACTGACTTCAGGTGTCTCGCGGAGCGCAGGGGAGCCACGAGGGAATTACTGGCCGCCATATCGGTAGCTTCAGACGCAACATGATGGATCGATGGAGTCCAGTGCGCGAGACATGGCTGCTGTTGCTGCTCGTGTCGGTGTTTTACACCTCAAGGGCAGGTAGGCTGAAATATCTTTGTTCAGATAATTAGCTCGCTCTGTTCAAATGCCTGACAATGTTTTAGCCTGTAAGAGGCTGAAGTTTAATTAGTCCTCCTCTTCCTCTCTCTCTGTCACATCATGTGTCATCAGTTGTCACCACCTGCCCTCAGGGCCCTCATGAGTTCATCGAAGTGTTAAATATCAGCCTTAACTCTTCCTTATCACTTTAATCCTTTCCAGCAAACACACACACTGTTGGCTGTGTGTGTATCTAGATCATGTTTGGACTGTTGATGTGAACTTGATTTGTGAAGGATGAGTCAATTCAAGACATATTCCCCACCCCCCCCAAATTTTTTACTCCTAGTCATTTTCCACTTAACTTCCAGGGAAATGGGCTTTTTGACAGATGATTTTGTCGTGCCAGGTCATGCAGACATAAAGCTTATTGAACTGAACCACCATATTTCTGGGCTCCTTTAGCCCACTGCACATTTGCTAGACAGTGGAAAAGGCATAGGCCTATATGTCTAGACTTGTTCTGCCATACTTGCATCAGTCTGTGCTCTCATACAGCAGCATACAGGATATTTAACCTGTACAGCTGTGTAATGGGGAACAGACTGAGGCAAATTAAAGTGCGCTGTGCTGAACTGTACTGGGGACTCTTGGTTACATCCCCCAGAGCTGCACTGGAGGCACATGAGGAGGACTTTATTCTTCTGGAGCTTTTTAGAGCCTGGTGTCATTGATGGTTATCAGGAGTGTGCATCCATGTGTTTGAGCAGTTTTATGTTTCTCCTAATGCAAGGCAATGAGACCATAAAACTTACAGAAGATCTTAAAGTAGCCCCTTAAAAGGCAACTCACCTAAATCAGCTCCTATAAGGAACCATGGTGAAATGCTGAGACCCTCATGTACTAGTGTCTGTTTTAACCTGCTTGGACCAAATGAGTTGGACCTGTGCATCAGGACACACCAGAGGAGTCAGGCTATTCTCAAATATTAAACTGATTTTCAGTTAATTTGATATTTCTCATTAAGCTTTGTGATTTTCATTGCATTCTCAAGCTTCAAGACAAGAACATCACATATAGTTTTGAACTTCAAAGTTCATTCTTGACCTTGGAAACAATAGTTGACAAAACATTCTCAACTCAAGGTCCATTTAGTAGATTTTTCTGGAGCTTTCAAGCATACTATATCAACAGATGGAGTTTGCAGTTACTTATGGAATTGTAAATGTTTTAATTTCCATTTTTTCTTGAGCACCTTAAGAACTTTTTGTCCATATTAACTCAAGGGAACAGTTTGACCTTTTTGGGACAATACACATACTGCTTTCTTGCCAAGAACTTAAAGAGAAGATCCATACACCTCTCATGTCTGTTCAGTAAATACAAAGCTTGAGCCAGAAGCTGGTTAGCTTAGCTTAGCACAAAGACTGAAAACAGCTAACCTGATTGTCCAAAGGTCACAAAATCCACCTATCAGCACTCCAAAGCTCTCTAATTAACATGCTGTGTTCTGTTTGTTTAATCTATTCCAAAACCAAAGTGGATAAAAAACACTTTGCTGTGTCTTGGGGTGTTACGTACCAGAGTATGGCTGAGACTGAAATCGCAAACTGTGCACTACATATCCAAAATGTGTACTATCATTCAACATACTTTTGTGTAAATACGCAGTAGTATGTATTTTTTTCAGACTCACATCACTCCCTGAGAGTCTCCTTGCCTGTTGGAGACGCGCAACCATGGTAACCTGTGCCAACCTCAGCTCTACCAGTAATTTAAAAAGACTTTAAAAAACTGTATCACACGTAGCAGAGTGAAATCGTACACTTCTTAAATACTTACACTTAAATTGACTCGTTATGGATGTTACAGAGGTGTCTTGGTCGCTGTCCATAGTGATTGTTGTCCTCTACTGCATGGCATTGTGGGATATTTATGCAAGCATAGTGTCCAGTGTTTGTATACTGTAACATTTCACCAAAAATATTATGTAATTCACATACTGTTACTAAAAAATCTCATATACTGTTCTGGGGTACAGCATGTTAGTATTGGATTTTGGACATAGGCTGTTTTTGGCCCAGGGATGTAAATTCCTAGAGTCTTAGGGGTACCTTGGAAACTTGGGAAGACAAACATTTGGCAAGAAAGAAAATAAGAATATTTTTTCCCCAAAATAACAAACTTTTGAAAAACTGCTCACTACTACTATAAAAGTTGAGTTAATTCTTGACCCAAGAAACAGCAGTTGGCAAAATGAGCTCAACTCAAGATGAGATCTACTGATAAAGATCAGGTGATATGATCGAAAGTTCCGGATCAGCTACTAAATGGACCTTGAGTTAGAATTGTTAAGTCAGTCACATTTCTTCATGTGCTTTTACAAGCCCAGAAACATCAACAGTTCTCATCTCGCACAGAGAAAAACCACAGAAAAGTCTTTAAAAACCTCACATCCCTCATCTTAACCTCATTACATTTGTTCTTTTCCTCATTTAATGGCTGCTTTATATGCAAGTCAGCATCCCACCTGCTTTATTCAGGATAACGACAGCAATTCACTGTGAAAGAGTCAACCAGCAGGTGACTTGGCAAAGGCTCCACCATGTTGCCTCCACGTGCTGAGAAAAAGCTGAAAAGCATTTATGTGATGTCGCGGCAGCCTTCAAAGAATTTCTAACAATCTGGCTTTGCACTGAAGATTAAAAGAAAACTTGCCAGCTGGCTATTTTATCATAGTTTATTTGATCATGTCTCAATAAAAAAAATAAGAAATAAGATTAAAAAAAGTGAAAACCAAATAATGACAAGTTGTTAGGCTTTTTTCTTCCAGTATGATGATCACACTATATCATGTTGTCACTCACACACACTCTGGGTGAAACCTCACTCTGTCTGTGAAGGTCATTGCTGAAGTGAATAATGTGACCTCTGGACCTTAGGGGTCATCTGGGGTCAAACTAGGTCAAGGTGTAAACCCTGTAGCCTCTCACAGGCGGTCAGAGAGCACATCCTTGTAAACAGGAATGCCTTTGTAAGTACTGCCCCAGGTAAAGACAAACACAGATACACAGAAAAACAAGTGTGTACACACACATGCAGTACAATGTGGATTTATGTTTAGCTCCTCCTCTGTAGCTACCGGACAACTATATCATAACACCCATAATTAAACTCTTCCGTTACATGTCACCCTTGATTTTTTGCTTGTGGTCAATTGCGATCACACACACCTGGCTGTCAGCAGGTTGACTGTGAATTATGACGATAGTTTTCCAAGCACTGTGGTCAAGTTACGGCCAGGTATATTACTGTGTCCTAAGGTGTTTAAAAACTCTTACCTGGCTCACTCTCTGTATGCAACTTGCACATCCAGGTAGCCATAAGCCTGGTCCTTGTTATTTATTGCTTTCCAAGTATTCAGTAAAATCATCTGGCTGCCAGTGTAATGCAGCTAAATTAGATTTTGTTTAGTTTCAAGCTTTCCTGTTATATTCTGAGCTAACTGCTTCCAAAACTCCAGTAGTCGAGAAGAACTCAGAAGCCATATCCCCAATGGAAATACATTTGTTTTGGACACAATTTATGTCATGTGCGATGTGTTAATACAGAAAGTAGTGTGATGTTTAGATAGCGGATAAAAAGTTACATCAGAGCTCTGTTTGATGAGAAAATCAGACTCAGTTTAAGATCTGTGTCCTCCATCTGGTGAGGCTGTCAGCCAGGTAGACACATGTTTTTAAGTAGGAGATACCCACCTCACCTTTCCAGTGTGCGTTGCTCATATTTCATTGTCTGACACCAACAACGACAGCTAAGCTTTTAATTTTAGACCAAGCGCATCATTGAAATACTATAGGTAAAGATTAGTTGCTGCATGGATCTGCAAAAGTTAAACATTTAAAAAATGGTGCTCCTTTGGCCACACCCCGATCAGTGATGTTCCAGCAGGTGTTGATTTGACAGATGATGGGAAACACCTGCTGTGACATCACTGAATGGAGCCAGAGGCACAACAGTAGTGCTTTTCTACCACATGTGATTCAGTGTGGAAATAATCTTTTTGAGATATTGTCAGCCACGCTAGCAGCGTACCTCGAGGCATGGCAGTGTCTGTCAGTGGGTTCACCACTATTGAATGGATTGGCATTAAATTTTTGTATGTTTTGTATGACATGTATGTTTTTTTTTTTCAAGTTGTGTTGTAATGACTTTGGTCATCTTTTGATTTTTCATCTAGTTGCGTCATCAGGTCAAAATTTTAATTTGTCCAATATTTTGGTTCATGAATATCTACAAAACTAATATACTATAGTTGTTAAGTGCTAATTAGCAATTGTAGCATTCTAACACGCTAAACCAGTCTGGAATGGCTGTATGCCCTTTACTGCCATCATAGTCACTTTCGCAACTAATGTAAACATTAAGAAAAGACTAAGAAATGGGCATCAGCCACAATCCCGATGGACAAGCGTGAATCTTTCTGCTGAACTAGCATCCTGCTGGCCATTGTACTAGCCAATCTCTGTGCCTGCATCGGTTTCTAACGGGATACCATGAACAAGCAGAGGACTCTGGAGAGATAGGGGGAGGAGGCATGTGCTTTATGGTGAATAAGACCTGGTGTGATAGTAGGAATGTGAGGTGCCATCCCGTTTCTGCTCGCCCTGCTTTACGAGGGGAATAAACACTCTGGATCAGTGCTACCAGGAACATAGTCCAGGTCCTTGTGGTAGTGGTGGTGTTTTTCAAGTTTGTAGCCCCTGCTCGTTATATGATAAATATTAGTGAAATACCAGGTTTACAGTGCTTATGTTTTTGGAGGAATTTGACATTTTTGTTGTACGACTAGCCTTATTAGTTACAGCCAAGGTACAGCTGTCTCGAGCTCCCGTCAAATCCCCTCCCAGGGCATCTTTTAGACAGTATTTGACCTGCAAGATATCCTACAACTTCAAGGAAACAATGAGGGCAAATTCTAAAATGGAGTTTCTGTCAAG